TAATGACGTTATAGCATGCAATGTTTTCTTTTATGGGATTGCTCTGGGAGATCTTTGCATCCTTTTATCAACTTTGGTCCTTCAAATTGCAGATACAGCATTTTTATTTGGCTGTTTAAGTAGCTGCACTCTAAAAATATGAAAAAAAAACATTGCATCAGTTAACAAACTGCAATGGACTTTTCAGCAATTTGATACAGCTTAAGGAAGTCTTGACTTCTGTTATTATGTTAGAATAGAATGGAATTGGAAGACCCCTTGGAGGTCTTCTAGTCCAGTGTTTTTCAACATTTTTTGTGCAAAGGCACACTTTTTTCATGAAAAAAATCACGAGGCACACCACCATTAGAAAATGTTAAAAAAAATTAACTCTGTGCCTATATTGACTATATATAAAGTAATTCTCCCACGGCACACCTTACACTATGTCACGGCACACTAGTGTGCCACGGCACAGTGGTTGAAAAACACTGTTCTAGTCTAACCCCCTGCTTAGACAGGAAAGCCTACATCACTTCAGATGAATGGTTATCCAACATCATCTTAAAAACGTCCACTGTTGGAGCATTCACAACATTCACAAAGGCAAGTTGTTCCACTGATTAATTGTTTTAACTGTCAGGAAATTTCTCCTTAGTTCTAAGTCTTTTCTCCTTGATACACCCATTGCTTCTTGTACTACCCTCAGGTCCTTTGGAGAATAGTTTGACCCTCTCTTCTTTGTGGCAGCCCCTGAGATATTGGAGCTCTGCTATCATGTCTCCCATAGACCTTCTCTTCACTAGACTAGCCATGCCCTGCATGGCTAGTCCTTCCTGCAACCGTTCTTCATATGTTTTAGTCTCCACTAATCATCTTTGTTGCTCTTCTCTGCACTCTCTGTAGAGTCTCAACATCTTTTTTACATTGTATATAATATGTTATATATATTCCCCTCTTCTTATGTTTATTTTAAGCCCTCTTCTAAGTATCAGGAAGTTTCAATATACTCTTAGAAGCTCAGAATTAGTTGCTGATTTAGAAAGGTTGGCTATATATGTATAAACCATCTTTGTGACTCTAATATTTGCACAGAATATTTTGTGATTACGGGGAAATAATTTGTTTTCTGTTCTTCCCCTGAGATTTTGGTAGATAGTCCCATCTCTTGCATTTTGACAAAAGTTTGATCTGAGAAATATCCTTTTGTAAGGTTCAGTTTTGAATGTGTTATATACATACAGTATACAATATAGATCTGCATATGTTCAGTTCTATATCATTACAGCAATCCTAGGGAATGTCTGTATATTACACATTTTAGATTCAGGTGGGTGCTCCTGTATATGTTGTTGTTGTTGTTGTTGTTGTTGTTAGTTGCAAAGTCGTGTCCGGCCCCATGGACAACATTCCTCCAGGCCTTCCTGTCCTCTGCCATCCTCTGGAATCCATTTAAGCTCACACCTACTGCTTCAGTGATTCCATCCAGCCACCTCATTCTCTGTCATCCCCTTCCCCTCAGTCTTTCTCAGCATTAGGCTCATCTTCTTCAATGAGTCGTGTATATAGTTGAAATATAAACTGATTTAGGGCTTATTGTGACCTTCCAGAGGTTTCTTCCAGCAATTCCCCTACTCCTGGTCAGTGATGAAGGACATTTGGGGAAATGCACAACTTCCCCACTTCTAATCCCTTTTACAACAATATCCTTCAATCCATTGAGCAATACCTAGTGTTGCACAAGCACAGAAGGACTTTCTGACCCTTGGGCTCCCCTAAATCACTTTAGGGTAGGGAGTTTTCTAAATTCTCTGCAACCGGTTTTGAATATCCAAATAACTGAAAATTCCCATGTTCCACTGATAGCTTTTCCAGTTAGTTGGTCTTTGTTTAGCTTTCAAAAAGATCTTTTCCAGCTTTATTTCCTCCTTCCTCTTTGTGAATGGAATGTATTGGGCTATTTTTTTTCTTTTGTATAAAATAATTTTGAGAGTATGACCAATGCACAATTCAATAAATTATAATAGATTTTCTGAAGTGTAGTAGGCATTGATACAGAATTCAGGATATTACTTATAGAAAGATGGATAATTTTTAGTGTTAAAATGAAGAGAAATACTAGTCCCTTAAGATTGGTGTTACATGTGCTCTTTTTCATTATATCTATATCAAATCATAGTTATGTACTTAAACAGAACTGTATAGCATATATATACCTAAGTGCATCAGTGATTCCTATGCATGCTTAAGGAGTTGCCATTAAGGTAATGAATGAACATAATGCTCACAGAGTTATTGCTCCTTAAATAAGCAAAGAATTTGATTTTCAAATATAAAACAGAATTCAGTCAAAGAGCTGCAAATTCCAGCCTGTGTTTTTGCATTCCTTCCGGGCATGTTTCAAGGGGAGGCTGTTGTGCTTTTAAAGGTGCTTGATAAGAGCCCTGCCCCACCAGCCCCAGATCTGCCCCACCAACCATCCTCGTGCATTAGTTTCTAAGGTATTTAGGTGAACATGCTTCTGTACCACTCTGTACCACCATTTATCCAACTGAACTATCTGACTATTTGCAGGATACATTATAAATCAGGGTGTCACTACCAGACAATCAGGTTTGAACATTTCTTGCATAAAGCGGTTTGGCTACAGAATATCCCAAGGGAGGATATATTATCACTCAATTGTGTTTATGAGTTGCTGCTTTTCCGCTCAGGCTCAGCCGACCTGTTGTTTTTCTGCCCATCTTTTTGTGTGATTGAGGAGTTAATAACAGTCTCTTGCCTCTTATCATGTCTCTTGCTTTAGTTAAGATAGGTAAAATACAATTGGTAATTGATTTCTGACATTGGAATTGCAAAGTATTAATTTGATAAATGCAGAAACTTTACCGTCTTTTGAGTGTGTTCTTCTGTAGTTTCTGAGGCCACATGAAAAAATAACTTGGTTGAATGCATTTAATATTTATCCCACTACCCAAATTTTATCTGAAGGCCTTGGTATACTGTAAGAGTTATTTAGATAAAGATGCATGCACCCTACAGTTTTTTGGGGTGGGGAAAAAGTTAATGCATTAATCACAGTCACCTAGTAAATCTCTTTATTAAATTGTTCTGGTGTTTTATTAGATTTTCCACATATTATTTTCTGTGTTTCTGTTGCTGATGATGGAATTTTAATTAATCAATTAATATTTATTTATTAAATTTATGTATTCCCCATCTCATCTGAGATACTTACATGAAAACCAGTTAACTTCAAAAAAGAAAAAAACAGTAATAATCATAGTTGTAGTAATAAAGATATTTGTAATACCATCAAATGTCCATATCTGCCTATTCCAGGTCCTTGGAAAGGATTCAATAGAGAGAGAGAGAGAGAAAAAAATGACAAATCCAGTCTGAACATCTGGCTGACTGTGCAATAAACCATAATAATGATAATTCTCATGTCAGATGAATCAAACATTTTAAAACATGCTGACAGATTGCTTCAGCTCTATTTGCTTGAATGATATGAAGTTATTAATGAATAAGACCTCCAAGGTCCCTTCCAACTCTATTATTCTATTCTATTCTATTCTATTCTATTCTATTCTATTCTATTCTATTCTATTCTATTCTATTAACTAAAGGACAGATTCTTATAATTCTCCTCTATAACAAATATGGAGAAATTTGCATAGCAAGAGCCACCCAACCTGACTCCTCCCTTTAATGCAAATAACTTAGCAAATGAGAAAGGATTCTCTTAACATATCATGAATTATTGCAGTCTTAAAAAGTTAATGAGCTGGGGGGGTGGGTTGTCTTAAATCTTGGCCTTAATTTAACAACTCTAGATTCTTGCTCTTAAATAAAGTCTTAATTCAGGTTCAACTGTTGATGGACACGCCCATGTGACTTTCTTAGCAATACAGAAGTAGTTTGCCATTGTCTTCTGGGATCTGGTTATGCTTCATTTTACTTCCCATTGTAACCTATCCTATCCTAACCTATCCTCTTGGGCTTCCTGTTGGTTACTATCCAGATACTAGCTCAGTCTAATCCTACTTAGCTAAGTCAGGTTTGGAAAGCACTTTTCAACTAATTGAACAATACATTAATCAACCCATTTCCTAATTTGTTTACTTGTCAATAAGACAAGCTAGTTAGGAATATATAGGTTGAGTGAACCAGAATGAAGTTTTGTATACCCCTTACTATCTATTCTATATGGTCATTGGAAAGGGGAATTCTGAAGTAATAACATGATTTAACCAAGACGTTTTCACCATATATTAACAACAAAGATTATTCCTGTAAAGGAGTGAAATATTTATTGTTTAACTATCTCTTCACTTTTTAAAGCTGCTCTTATTTGATTTATATGTATGAGATATACAAACCCAGATCAGAACAAATCATAAAATTACAAACAACATGTCTTTGTTTGCATATCCCATTAAATCAGCATATGAGTAGCAAACATAATTTCAAATTGGTCACTTCTCTGAAGCTAAAATTGTTAATTCACTTAACATTTGCTTTAAGGCCAAAACAGCCGAATCATATTCAACACTAAACAGAGCTCCATGCAAGTTCTACGAATGTTTACAGAAGATTCTAGAAACAGAAAGCTTTCCATTTTATTCTTAGGTTAATTAAAATCCTAACCCGTTTGTTATATAATGACAAGGGCATCAGAAGGCAGAACACAGATACAGTAAATTCATAAATTGTTTTTGTGAACAGGTTCAATGGTGGAGAGTTTGCTTTATCATGATGTTTTCTTTTCTCTTTAACCCTGTGGGTCACACTTCAGAATTCTGAATAGGTAGACAGTATTTTGTGTAGAGGTTTATGTATTATGTACTGATTCAAACGTGACTTAAGAGTTATATTTTCTTCAGTTGCATTGACCTGCTGATATAAGAACTTCCCGATTTGTGATGAGAAAACAATATAGAATGTTGGTACTAATACTATCCATTTCATACTTAATAAAATAAAATAACAGCGTGCATTTTATGCCTTGATTCCAGGATGTGAGCAAGGCCAATTTCGTTGTGGAAATGGGCGCTGCATTCCTGAGGACTGGAGATGTGATGGAGCAAGAGACTGTTCAGATGACACGGATGAAGCCGGCTGTCGTAAGTGGAATTAAGCTTATTTAATGCATTTGGCCTTTTCCAAACATCAGTATTAAGTATCATTTTCCTCATTCATTGCCAGACGAGATGATCAGGACACCAAGTTAGGGAAAGGTGACCAAAACATAGTTGGGAGGTTGAGATGCATTCATGATAAACAGATCTTTTAATGGCTATGAAGCATACTGATTAAACAACAACTAAGATACTGAAGAGTACGATATGGGAATGTTTGTGTTGATGTCTGTGTGATGGTGTTGGAGAGGTGAATAGGCAAGTAAAATATTTGGTTGGAAGCTGCACATAAACTTTTAGACTTTAGGTCCAGTCCAGCAGGACTGTTCTTTATCTGGTAGGGACATATGTTACTGGCTGGGATCACATATTGTTCATTTGCTGAATTAGTCACACTAGTTAGGTTTAAACATGGCACTAAGGCAAAAAAACAAGCCAATTATGGCTCAGTAAGACCTTTGAACTCAGCTGTCTGACATTCCTAACTTGCTGATTTCTTAATCATGTAGCAAGAGGCCTAGTATTACATTTCTAGAATCACTATTTGAATTCATCAGATTAAAATTTTAATGCTTAAAAAATACCCCTTTTATATGACTACAAGCCGAGTCCTTTATTCACCTAACATCTAAACCAAAACATTCAAATACAATTTGCTTGTCCATTTTAGCACATCCAAGCTGTGAAGGAAACCAGTTTCAGTGCCATGGTGATGGAGAATGCATCCCTCAGGCATGGGTCTGTGATGATGAAGAAGATTGTGATGATGGCTCTGATGAACATCAGCAATGTCGTAAGTTATGACCTGGTAATGAGCCCCATAGATTACTGGAATGGCACATGTTTTGCTTGGAATTAGTGTAATTCGATCCCTGGCATTTCCAGAACGTTTATTTTCTAAAATGGAAGAAAGCCTGTTTCCTTTCAGAATAATTATTCTGAAATTCATGGACCAATGGGCTGAGTTGATATAAGGTTACTTCTAATGGGTCCTCCTTAAGTGCATCCTTTCTTTTTAGATTTGAATTCCTTTATCTTTAGATTAATTGCACAAATGCCATCTAATAATGTGTCTTTAAATAGCATTAGCACTAGCAGTTAGACTTATAAACTGCTTCACAGTGCTTTACAGAGCCAGCATATTGCCCCTCAACAATCTGGGTCCTCATTTTACCAACCTCAAGGATACCCCAGTAATTCAGTTGAATATTGTTAATTCTGATTGTTGGGGTAAATAAAGTTGAGGTTCACTCTGTTTGCATTAGGATAGATCAGCCTGTTTACATTTTAAAAACTTAAAAAAAAACTTTTTACGTTTTTTTTTACTTTTTACATTTTTCTGTCCCATTTCTTCTTTAGCTAAAACTGTCGTTTTAAAATCTGCAAGAAAAATGTGCTTAAGGGGATTTAAATTTAAGCATATTTATTTACCACATGTTTTTATTCCAGCTACACATTTCTAAACACATTTACCCTAAAATACACATTTGTACTCTGATACCTTTCTGCTGCAATTTCTACTGTTGTTGTTAGTTGCAAAGTCGTACCCGATCCATTGCAACCCTATGGACAACATTCCTCCAGGCCTTCCTGTCCTCTACCATCCTATGGAGTCCATTTAATTTCACGCTTATTGCTTCAGTGACTCCATCCAGCCACCTCATTCTCTGTTGCCCCCTTCTTCTTTTGCCCTCAGTCTTTCCCAGCATTACGCTCTTCTCCAGTGACTCCTTCCTTCTCATTAGGTAACCCAAGTATTTGAGTTTCATCTTCAGGATGAATTTTACTGGAGTAGTGCAAAATCTTAATGATAACTACATTATGACCCAATGGATGTAGTCCAGTACAGTTCTTACTGAAATGCTCAAATGTTGAATACTTCAAGCATCCTAATTTTTTATATTAAACTTTGAGTATATTTCCAAACTCAGTATGCATTCATTACTGGAATTGGGACTTCCCAGAGGTGTATATGAGATTTGTATACACTACTCTGTAAACACTAGGCTTCCTCACCTTCCGGATTTCTTTCAGACAGTGAGAACATTCCGGATTGGATTTGGAGTTTCCCTTAGTTTTAGAATTTGAGTAGGCTATAAATAGAATACCTTCGTTATGATAAAAGTTCACCTTTCCCCCTTGCTCTGCAGTATTTTCTAGTCTTGCTAATCTGGGCTATATTTTGTTCACTTTCTGGGAAATGGTTTCCCCGGTTTGTAGTATAGATACTGTTGACCGAGGATAATGCAAATATTTTTATTATAGTTCCATCCCAAGTATGTTTTTTTGCCCTCCTTACCTTTTCGATAGGAGCTATAATTGCTAGTAGTTACATATTATCTATTGGGGAGGCAGTAAAGGGCAAATTCCAGTGACCTTTGAAACCCAAATCTCCACTGACCTCTGACCTTTGTGCACATTAACCCAATTCCATTGTAAAGTGGATTCATTGCAAAGTCTTTCACCTGTTTTTGAATCAATGTTAGGAAGTCACATGATTTCTTACCTTGGGATATTTGAATATATTCTTCAATATTATTCTTTGTTCAGTGAAAAATCATAGCATGTATAATGTTGCCTCTCGCCACCTGTTTGTTGTGCATATTAAGTGTGTCAACCAAGATTTACATCTACAAAAAAAACCCCAAACCCTTTATTTGCCTTCTGGTCACTAACAAAAAAAAAATCCAATTTATTGTGTGTGTATTTAATTAGGAGGAGACTCTCCAAAGCACCTAAGGGTAGGACAAGAAGCAATGGGTGGAAATTAATCAAGGAGAGAAGCAACTTAGAACTAAGGAGAAATTTCCTGACAGTTAGAACAATTGATCAGTGGAACCAACTTGCCTCCAGAAGTTGTGAATGCCCCAACACTGGAAGTTTTTAAGAAGAGATTGGACAATCATTTGTCTGAAGTGGTGTATGGTTTCCTGCCTAGGCAGGGGGTTGGATTAGAAGACCTCCAAGGTCCCTTCCAATTCTGTTATTTTGTTCTGTTCTGTTCTGTTCTGTCCCGTCCTGTTCTGTCCCGTCCTGTTCTGCTCTGCTCTGCCCTGCCCTGCCCTGCCCTGCCCTATTCATCTTACTATTGGCCATACTGTGGTTTATTGGCATCTAGAAGGCAAGGATTTCCTATCTGGTATAATGTAACAGTTTAAAAAGATAATACAGGCAAAGTAGAAAAGCAATCCAGTGTATTAATGAATATATATCAAGCAGAATATCTTGATTCCTCAGGTAGCCTTGTGTCTTTCCTGCATGGAAATTTCTCACAGACCCAAATTTAGTTTTGCCTTGAGTCTTGCACAAGTATAATAAAAGCTTCAAAGAATTTATAATCTAAACACAAACACTTAACATATAGCCGAGAGGCACAAACAAACCAGGCTAAGAAAGGGCAGTTAAAGATAGCGAAATTGCTGTAAGATTATATCTTCATTGGAGAATTCCTTCTTCTGGTCAGTGAGTGCAACATTCCAGTGATAGATAGATTTTTCCACTGATGGATGGTAAACTATGGCCACAGTGAGTTGCATTTTATCTGGACTTAGTTCATGAAAAATAAATGATGAGAATGTAGGGAGCACCCAATGAAAGTAACCTACCTATATACGTATACAAAGTTAAATATAGTCATTTGATTCCAAATGTTGTTGTTGTCTCTTTTCAAAGGCTGAATAAGTCAGTTAAGTTGTGGATTGGACCTGGTTTGGGTTGTCCTCACTTAATGACTGCTCTGTTTAGTGAAAAAGTGTTGAAAAAGTAACTTTATTATGACCAATCTTCACATTTACTACTGTTGCTTTATTATCCCTGTGGTCATATGATCGAGAGTCAAGTGCTTCACAACTGGTGGACAATTATGATTATCACAGCTTATCATTTTCATGTTTTGCTATTTAGCTTCTGGTACCCCCTATATTCTCATCATTTATTTATAGAGTTAATGAAGAAGCCCGCAGTAAAACGGCAAATCATGGTCATGCAATATCTTGCTTAAAGATCATACATGAATTGCTAAAGAACCATGATCAAAATGAGTTTGCAAGCCTGTTGCAGTTATGTGAGGTTTCACTTAATGACTATGTCACTTAACAACAGAGTTGCTGATCCCAGTAGTGATAAATGAGGATTCCCCATACTCATCAGAGAAAAACTGTAGTAGGTTTAGCAAACAAGTACTGAAATTGGCCTTATTTTGCATGATGTATCTGCTCTTTTCTACACCTTCCCTTTCTTTGGTAAGCTTTACAGGAGTTACATTAATATATCTACATAGTTCATAAATAACATCAAGACATGAAAGCTTGATTTAGGAATGTGTAGAAGTTTACATTTACATTTATCTATTTTGGCTTTTTCATTCTATTATTGTTGAAAACAGTTCTTTAGGCTGAATATTGTATTTATGGTAATACAGTAATTATATTGATATTGTATTGTTCCATAATTTTGATAAAATTTAATTTACTTACCTGTATTTGGAAATATGCTGTAAGCCACTTACAGTCAAATGATTGAAGTGCCAGAGAAGCATTTGTAATGATGGAGATGTAAATAAGGATGATTCCTGTTCATTTAAAAACTATACATTTTATAAGCATATTATCAGAAACAGAAGCCGTAGGACAGGAGTGTCAAACTCAAAGCTCATGGGCTGGATCCGGTTCATGAGGTACTTTGATCTGGTCCACGGGTTTGCCCTGGAAACAGTGAAGGACCAGCCCATGATGTCTCTGCCAACAAAAACAGAGTTCAGCCCTCCCAAGCTTCATTTTTGCTGGCAGAGAGTTGCAGGGGGTCATCACAGTCGAAAACAGAGATCAGGAGCCTGTTTTCACTGGCAGAGTTTTCAGGCTACCACAAGTGCCCCTGAAATGAGTGATGTCAAGCTGGCCATGCCCCCTGCCCCCCAGGTCAAACACAACCCTGTTGCGGCCCTCAGTGAAATCGAGTTTGGAAGAGTGAGTGCGTTCAGAGAAGCGTTGCGAGAGTTGTGTTGGAGAACACACAAACCAGCATACAGAGACACTGCAGTTTAAATAGGCTTTTACTTTCATGGAAATAGAGGTATCAGAGTCCATCAAACAGTCCAAGTCATACATGGATAAGACAGTCACTCATCAATGTCTTTCAGTTAAGGGA